GCCGCCACTTCGTGCACCTTCTTTGTTCGCTCCGTCCCTCTCTCCTCTCTCCTCTATCGTTCCCTTCTCTCCCTCCTTTCCTCCTCCTCGTCCTCCTCGTCCTCCTCGTCCGACTAGTTATCCTCGTCCTCCTCCTGCCCTCCTCCTCCTCCTCCTCCTCGTCCGCCTCCTCCTCATCCTCATCATCAGCAGCACCATCATCATCATCATCATCATCATCATCATCATCATCATCATCATCATCATCATCATCATCATCATCATCATCATCATCATCATCATCCCCCTCCTCCACCTCCTCTCCTATATACTCCTCCTGTTCCCCTCCCCTCCTCCCTCCTCCTCCTCTCCCCCCTCCTCCCCCTCCTCCTCTCCCTCGTCCTCCTCCGTCTCCTCCTCCTCCTTCTCCTCCTCCCGCCTCCTCCTCTCCTCCTCTCTCCTCCTCCTCCTCCTCCTCCTCTTATCTCCAATATCCTCATCTCTCTCTCTCTCTGCCTCTCTCTCTCTCTCTTTCTTTGTTTGTTTATATATTTTCCTGTTGTTTTCTTTCGTTCTCTCTCTCTCTCTCTCTCTCTCTCGCAGCGCCATCGGGCGTAAGGCCCCCGCTGCGCAGGCGCGCGCGCCGCTGGCCGTCGTGGAGACCACCCCTTTCCAAAGAGGGGGGGGGGGCAGGGGGGGGCACCCACTCCCATCCACATCGTGAGGCCCGCCGAAGAAGAGGGAAGGGGAGGAGCGGCCAGGCCGCTCATGGGATGTCGTCGCGGTTACGGATGACGTAGTACCTTGCCCGCATCGGCGTACATGGCGTACTGCGCCGGTAACACTGTAGACGAGTTAGCGTAGTAGCCTCCAGGTTGAAAACATGTAGTTGTACCCAGACTGGTGTGGCTTACGCTTGCCAGGTCCCACTATTAGCGCATTGGCCCTCGTGGCTCAGCTTGCAGCCCTCGTAGCTCTGCCGGTGGTTTTTGTAGCTGTGCCTGTGGTCCTCGTGGCGCCCTGCTGGTGGCCGTAGTACCTCTGCTCGTTGTCCTCGAAGCTGAAGGTTGTAGCCCTCGTAGCTTTCCAGGTGAACCTCGTGCCTCTGCCGATGGCTCTCGAAGCTCTGCTAGTGGCCCTCGTAGCTCAGCTGGTGGCTCCAGTAGCTCACCTGGTGGTCCTCGTAGCTCTGCTCGTGGCCCTCGTAGCTCGGCTGGTGGCCCTCGTGGCTCAGCTGGTGGCCCTCGTAACCTGCTTCTGGCTCTCGTAGCTCAGCTCGCGGTCCTCGTAGCTCAGCTCGTGGGTCTCGTAGTTCCGCAGGTGGCTCTTGTAGCTCGGCAGGTGGGCCTTGCAGCTCTTCTGGCGGCTGTGGTAGCTGGGGGGGGCAACGGGTCGACTCCAACCGTGGCGACGACGGCGGGTCCAGCCGCGACGACGACAGGAGTGTCTATGGGTGTATGGGTGTCCTTGGCGACGTTAGCCCGAAGGGCTAGGTATGGGGCGCCGCCGCGAGGGGGGTACCAATCTCGTGTTTCGTTTCAAAGCTTATACCTGGGTCCACCTCGGGTCGAGGCGCCCGCGGGGGCAGGGCGCCTCACGATGGCTCCAAGACGCCCACGATGGCTCTAAGACGCCCCAAGACACCTTCAAGACTGCCCAAGAGAGGCGCAATAGCTTTCCCAAGAGAGCCACGAGAGGCGAAAAAACATGTTCGCTTGGTTTTGCCTCATTCCGAAGGTCATCGCCTTCTCGAGCTTCCGACGCTCCAAGACACCCCAAGAGGCACTGGAGACCGCCCCCAAACTGCCCGAGAGGCCCCTGCGAGGGCTCCGAGACGACCCGGGAAAACTCCAATACGGCCCAAAGAGCGGCCCAAGACGGCCAACAGTCGCCCCAAGAGGGCCCCACGAGAGGCCAAGAGGGAGAACGCGAAGCAACACATCAGAACTCTCCGCCCCAAGAGGCCCTCCGGAAGCCCCCAGAAGCGCCCAAGCGGCCCCAAAAAAGCTCCCAATAAGCCTCGAGGGGGCCCTAAAAGGACCAAAAGAGACCTCCAAACGGCTCCCAAAACGCTTCAAGTAGTGGTCCTCATCGAGCTCCTGTACTATCTTCGCCTCCTCCACCTCCTCCTCCACCTCCTCCACCACCTCCTCCTCCATCTCCTCTTCCTGCCTCCTCGCTGGCCTCCTGCGACGGCACCCTGCTGGCGCAACCTCCGAGTCTGCGCACCATGTCCAATTCCCTGTTCGACATCCTATGAACTTCGCATCCGCACTGCACCGCTGGACAAGCGAAACACACACACCACACAAACGCACAGCACACAACATACAACAGACACATAAACGCACACGCACATACACACAACACAAACGCACAACACACAACACACACAACAGACACACTAACGCAGACGCACATACACACAGACACACACACACACACACACACACGCACAGACACTGATACACCTATATATATATATATATACATATAGATATATACATATATGCACACGCTCGCACACACGCACACACAAACACACACACACACACGCGCGCACACGCAAATTACGCCAATCGTCTGATCCGACGCGAAGACGCCCTTCTGATGCTTCAGGCGAACCGTGCGCCCAACGGCCTTCTTGGTCCGAGCTCAGGCCTTGGCGTTGGGGGCCCTGACCCGGCGCGCTGTTCTGTCGTGTGGTCCACCCACAGACTCACAACAGACTCTTCAGAGGCACTAGCAGCGATCCGAAATGTTCCTGCAATCCACGGAAGAGGAGTATGGACGAAGAGTGGGGCGGTGACGTTGATGGTAATGTTGATGGTAATGGTGGTGGTGATGATGATGCTGCTGGTGATGATGCTGATGATGATTATGGTGATGATGACAGTGACAGGGGCCAACGTGAACCGCGCACCTAAGGTTCTTCTAATCGCGTGGGGCACCTTATGTGTCGCACGGTGTGCGTGTGCGTGTGATCCACGCCCGGATGGCTGATGGCTGCCGGCCGCTGCGGGATCCTAAGCGGTCTCTGAGGGCTCGGGCGTTCCTAGTCGCGCGCGCGGTCGCTGCTTTACGACATTCTCCGCCCTGTCGCCGCGCGCAGGGCCGCGACGCCAAAAAGTGTGTGCGTGTATGTGTGTGTATGTGTATGTGTGTATGTGTATATGTGTGTGTGTGTGTGCGTGCGTGCGTGCGTGTGCGTGTGCGTGTGCGTGTGTGTGTGTTGTGTGTGTGTGTGGACCAGTGTACGCGGTGCAGCAGCGCGGGAGATCTGATGGGCGCCGCCAGAACATCGCAACAGCCGAGGCCAGCGGGACCCGAGACCCTCTGGGCCAGCGGGGCCCGAGGCCCCGAGGGCGGCCGCAAGAGCATCGCCACGACCAGGGCCGGCAGGGCCTGGGACCCCGCTGGCGGCCACCAGGAAGAAGCCGCAGCCATGGCCGGCAGGGCCTGGCACGCCCGTGGGCGGCCACCACGAGGCTGCAACAGCCAGTGCGCGCGGGGCCCGGGAGGCCAAGGGGCGGCCACACGCAGATCGCCGCAGGCAGAGACGGGTGCTCTCCACACGGGGCGCGGGGAGGAGTACGGCCGGAGGTGGCGGAGGAGTAGTGGACGGGAGGAGGAGTACGCAGCAGGACGTTCACGCGCGCGAGCGTCTAGGCACACGATGTCCGGATCGCTGAAGACTACGTCCTTGGCGAGGCCGCTCAGGGAGACTATGGTGAGGACGACGTGTTTGCGCAGCACCACCTGCGCGCGCACGCGGACTGAGGGGAGAGGAGCGGGATCGGGAGGGGGGGGAGAAGCGGGGGCGGAGGGGAGCGGGAGGGAAGGGGAGGGGAAACGGGAGGGAGAAGGAGAGGGAGCGGGAGGGGCGCGAGGGGGAGGAAAATGAAGTGGACGGGGAATCAAAAGCACCGCTACGAGATCATCACCGATACATCGGGCTCATCGTATGAGGAGCACGTCACCACTGTTACCATCCAAGAAGCACGTACGGGGAGGAGGAAGAGGGCGAGGAACAGATCGCGGCAGGCGTCAGAGCTGGAATAGAGGCAAGGTGAAGGTCAAGGTCAGATGTTGAGCCCCCTCCTCCCATTCATCCCCGTCCTCCTTCTCCTCCTTCTCCTTCTCCTCCTCCTCCTCTTCCTCATCCTCCTCCTCCTCCTCCTCCTCGTGCCTCCCTCGTCGCCCTCCAAACGTTTTCCTCCCGAACTCCTCGCTCCCGCCTTCCCCCCGCTTGTTCTCGACGCGCCCATGTGGACGACGCCGACACCACGATAAACCCGCGGCAAACCCAGCACCCCGCGCCCCAAATAGACGAGGCCGGCACCGCGGCAGACCCCACGGCAAGCCCACCGCGCCCGAGGCGGCGTTTGCCCTGGTGGCCGAGGCGCCCTCCCAAGACGAGACTAAGGCCACCCGTCGGAGCAAACGGCGCGGCGACATGTAGAGACGCACGAGGGACGATCGAGGGAGAGGCCCTCCCCGGCGCCTCCACCGCTCCTCCTGCTCCGGCTGCGGCTCTGGTCCCCCCTTTTCTCCGCCTCCTGCTGCTGCTCCTGTCGGCGGCTCAGAGATGGGGCCCTCAGGGATGGGGACCTAAGGATAGGAAGGGATGCAAGGGTGGATTTACAATGTTTGAGGCACCTCGTCCTTAGGACCTCATTCTGCGGGACCCCATCGTTGAACCACCGATCTTGCTCCTGCTCCTCCCCCTTCTCCTCGTACGGGTGCCGAAAACAATTCATTTAAACATCGGGGTGCTACGGGCCACCGATCCATCACCGCTGCAATATGCCTACTGGCGTACAGCTCAGCGAGGCTATGCCTTTGGAAAACGCCGGCTGGGTTAAGTCTTGGCCTCCTTTCCCTCCCCCTCCTTCTGTATTCCTGCTACCTCCTACCTCCTCTCCTTCCCTTCCCATCGCCTCCTCCTACTCGTTCCTCCTCCTCCCTCCTCGCTCCTCCCCCCCCACTGCCCTCTGCACACTCCTCGCCAGCATGTCCGCCGCGCCCAGCCTGGTAGTACTCCCTGGAGCCCCAGGCGACCTCCTCCTCGGGCACGCTGTCCCTGGCCGGCTCCCAGCGCGCCCTCCCTGCCTCCGCCGCCCGCTCCCGCGACGCCGCAGCCAGGAACGGGACCACACCGGGTCGCAGAGGCCTCCGAGACGGGGTCGGAGCAGACGGGGCCGGGGGATCCGGCCGCACCGCCGACACATCGGCGAGGCACCGGCGATGCACCGGCGATGCACTGGCGGCGTCGCCGACGCATCGGCGACGTCGGCGTGGAGGAAACTGGGCTCCACATCGAGCCGCATCGCCGACGCATCGCCGACGCATCAGCAACGCGGCGCGATCCTCCGACCCCCACCTACTCCGACCCCATCCAGGAGGCCTAGATATCGGGGCCACCGGTGGCTCCGGCCTCGAGGCTGTCGGACGTTTTCGTCAGCTCTCGACGGCCTTCCAGCCTCCGGGTGCTTTCCAAGACTGCGCTCTGCCGAGAGCGTTCCGGGGACGTCCCGAACGGCCGCCGGAGAGCCCAGGTATGACCCGAATGGCCGCCGTGCGCCTGCCTTTCCAGGCCCGGGGCGTCCCACCACCACAAGCGCACAAATGGATCCCAGGTCTCTGACGATACTGTCAAGGTACTACCAGAAGGAACGCTAGATAAGGAGCGAAGCCCCTTTTGGGCCCCAGCAGCGCCTAGACGAGGATGGCTAGAGAAACAACCGCGGAATGGCCTAAGGAACAGCGAGCCCCTCCCGAACCCAAAGCTGTCCTCATGTCAGCGTCTTGACTGTATGAGTCTTTCGATCCTTGCGGTCTCTCCTCCATTTCGGCCCCCAGGGACCGTTTCCGAGCCCCGGGGCCATCAAAAACTGGCGCATGACGAAACGCTGGCCCCGAATAAGGGTGGTCGGGATCTGCGGGGGCCGCGGAGTCAACAGATCGCATCGGAGGATGCCAGGGCTCCGCACAGCGTCACCCCGACGGGCGGAGACAGGTCGACCCCTCCTGTCACCTGAGGGCTGGTCCAAGACAGTTACGGTGCCCCGCACGGTGCCCAAAATGTGCCCCGAACGGTGCCCCAAAATTCAATGGTTTCGGAGGCATCCAAGTGGGGGCCGCCCAAGAGCGGGGGGCGCAAATCATGGCCGGCGGCATGTGCGCGGCCCAGGTGGGGGCCAGGGACGTATTGAAATAAGAAGAGCCGCCGTGAAATCTGGGGAGATATCATAGCCCCCGCCATGTTATCCCCCCCTAGTCATCACCCCCTCTTGGCCGCCCCCGATGGTTTTGCTCGCAAGATCTTGGGGCATGCCCATGCGGGGTCTTGGGCCCGCCCTGCCACGACGCCTGACCTGGCCGCAGAAAGCCGGAAGGAGGCGGTCGGCGGCGCTGGCCGCTCTGCAAGGTGTGGCCGGCGGGGGCCGGCAAGGGAGCTCGCCAGGCACCTCTTGAGGGCCACTCTTTGCCCGCGAGGCCGCTCTGCGAGACAGGACGAGGAGGAGGAGGAGGAGAGAAGAGGAGGAGAGAAGAGGAGTGGTAAAGCCCGCAACAGCCCAGCACGGGTCCAAAACAACCCCCCTGGACACTGAACCTCCTCCAGCTGTTCCTCCTCCGCTCTTCCTCCTCTCCTCTACCCCCCCCCGCCTCGACGACGACGACGCCGCCGACGCCGACACAGACCCCTCACACGGTTCGTGGCCCCATAGGGAGCTCCACCGACGGTCCAAGTGGCTGCGCTCGCATGGCACCACCGCGCCCATGTCGGCACGCCCCTCATACGGTTCGTGGCCCCAGAGGGAGCTCCACCGAAGGCCCCAGTGGCTGCGCTCGCATGGCACCACCGCGCCCATTTCGGCACACCCCTCACACGTTTCGTGGCCCCAGAGGGAGCTCCACCGAAGGGCCAAGCAACAGTGCTGGCAGGGCGCCGCCGCGCAAAATTCGGCACGCCCCTCACACGTTTCGTGGCCCCATAAGGAGCTCCGCCGAAGGCCCCAGCGGCAGCGCTCGCATGGCACCACCGCACCCATGTCGGCACACCCTTCACACGTTTCGTGGCCCCCTCGGGAGCGCCACCGAAGGCCCCAGTGGCGGTGTCCACGTGTGTCCCGCAAAAATTTCGGCCCACCCCTCACACGTTTCGCGGCCACATAGGGGGCTCCACCGAAGGCCCCAGTGGCAAGGTTCGCATGGTGGCCCCGGCCCAATTCGGCACACCCCGCACGAAGATCGTGGCCCCATAATAAGCTCCACCGAAAGCGGTACCCACAACGCGGTACTCACACTTGCATATGATTTGGTTTTCGTCAGGGTAATTGTATTTGTGGGCTCAAACTTGACCCCCTTATGTAAACGCTGGGAGGGTGGGGTGGTGGTGGTGGTGGTGGGGGGGATGCTATTTGTTATGATTTCCAGATATCGCTGGCGTTCGATGCTTTTTTGTTGTGTATTTTGATGGTTGTGTTTTTTGCTTGGGTTTTGTTGTTTGTGGATTTTTTTTGTATTTTTTTGTTGTTTTTTTAATGTTCAGCTCAGTTTGCGTTGTTTAAAGGGTTATCATGCGTTTTTGATGTGTTTTTGTGTTTCTGCTGTTTTTTCAAAGCTTTGGGTGTTTTTTTCCACTTGTTTTTGAGCTTTTCATGCTTTTCAAGGAATTCTGGTATTTTCATGTTTGTTTTTTTAAAGTTTTCTGTGGTTTTCAATTGTTCTTGTGTTTTTCGAAGCTTTTCAAGGAATTCTGATAATTATTTGTTTTTATTTGTTCTACGCTTTTCATTAGTTTTGGTGTTTTTTGCCAAGCTTTTCCAGGAAATTTGATGATTTTGCATTTTTCATTTTTTGTATTTTTCAATAGTTTTTGCGTTTTTCAAAGCTGTTCAAAGACTTTTTGAGTTTGTTTTATTGTTTTATGTTTTTTCTATGTTTTTCAATGGTTTTTGGGGCTGTTCAATGAAATTTAATATTTTCTTTGGTTTTTAAACTTTTTCTACGTTTTTCAATGGTTTTTATGTTTTTTTCATGTTTTTCACAGAAATTTTGTATTTGTTTTGTTTTAATCTATGTTTTTCTGCCTTGTTGCAACAAAATGAAATTTTTCCGGTCTTTTTTGATTTTTGGTCGGTGGGTGGTCGGTGGGTGGTCGGTGGAGGTCGGTGGGTGGTCGGTGGGTGGTCGGTGGAGGTCGGTGGGTGGTCGGTGGAGGTCGGTGGGTGGTCGGTGGAGGTCGGTGGGTGGTCGGTGGAGGTCGGTGGGCGGCCGATTTCGTGAGCAACGCTACAAAAACGCATTTTTGCTTCAAAAACACAAAAACATTTGAACAAAAATACAAAAAACATGTAAAACGCAGAAAATCATGAACAAAAAACCAAAAATATTTAAAATTTCCTTGAAACGCTTGAAAAATCACAGAACTGTATGAAAAAAACTCAGAAAACCGGAACAAATAACAAATATACTAAATTTCTCGAGAAAAAACACAAAAACCATGGAAAACCACAACAAAACATGAAAATATTAAAAAATGTGGTTGAAACGCTTGAAAACGACAAAAAACTATTGAAAACACAAAAAATTGGAAAAACAAGAAAAACAAACAAACTTTCCTTGACACACTTGGGAGCAACACAAAAATTATGGGAAACGCAGAAAAAACGTTAAAGAAAACCAGAAAAAAACAATTTTCCTTGACACGCCAAACAACACCACAAAAAACAACTGAGAAACACAGCAAAACCACAAAAACAACGCAACAACTAAAAAATATTATTTTTAGCTAAAACAATATAAACCACACACAACTACAAGCACACGCCACATTTCTGTGGACAAAAATACAAGAATACACGAACGCGTAAAACAAAACGCAGTTTGTTCGGAAAAGAACAACAAAACCACAATATTTATAAACATAACAGCTTTTCCTTGAACAACAAAGGAAACAAACAACAAAAAACCAGCAAGATCATAAACCATGGCGTTCCCGGGTTTGCTGGGCTGCTGCTGTTTTTCTTGCAGCACGGCGGTGTCCATGTAATCCTTGTGGTATCGTTGACAAAGCGCACGCGGACCTGCGGTTGTGGCGCAGAACACGCTGCGCACGCGCCACCCCCCCCCACCACCCCACCACCACCACCACCATCGCGCACGAACGCGCGCACACGCGCACCCACGCACACGCACACACACACACACACACGAACGCGCACGAACGCACGCACGCACACACACACACACACACACACACACACACACACACACACACACACACACACACACACACACACACACACACACACACACACACACACACACACACACACGCACTCACACCCGCACGCACCACGCACACAGCACGGCACCGCCGCACCACTTTCGGCACACCCCTCACGAGGACCGCGGCCCCATCGGGAGCTCCACCGCAGGCCCCAGTGACAGGGTTCGCACGGCGCCGCGGCGCCAATTTCGGCACCGAGGACCACCCCGCATGTCGATTTCGGCCCACCCCTCACACGTTTCGTGGCCCCATAGGGAGCTCCACCGAAGGCCCAAGTGGCTGCGCTCGCATGGCACCACCGCGCCCGTTTCGGCACACCCCTCACACGTCTCGTGGCCCCATAGGGAGCTCCACCGAGGGCCCAGGGCCAGGCGAGCCAGGGGCCCGGCCCGGACTGGAGGGTGGCGCCGCCCTTTCTGACCCTCAGTGCTTCCCTTCTCTGCTGTCTCCTCCTCTTGCTCCTCTCCCACTCGGAAATCATATAGAGGGAGAGTGGGCAAGGGGCGAAAGCCTGAGGCAGAACATCCACTCTGATCGGGAGTAGGGGTTTTACACGCCTCCTCCATAAAACGACTGGGCAAGGGCCAAGGGACGGGCAGTCGGAGGAGAAAGAAGGATGAACACATCTTTTGACGTTTTGGGGTCGCCAGTTTCGTGGTTTCGGCGGCTTCGGGCCCAGAAGGGGCTCAGACTAGCGCGTTCCGTCCGTCCTGTTGCGGGCTT